GAAAAAAAAAATTTTTTTTTTGTAAACTAGTTCTTAGAAAAACAATGAATTTTCTTTTTATTTTTTCTAATTTAAAATTAACCATTCCTGTAATTATTAATTTTTCCAGTAAATTTCCAGCTACTTTAAACAAAGTTCCTAGTCAGATGAGAGAAATCAATGAGAACTTAATAATTTTTTTAAGATAAAAACAAAAAAAAATAAAATATTATTATAATCAGTTGCTGTGAATTAAATGTATTTTTCTAAATCGTTAGGTCATGTATGTATCATTTTTTCCACCACTGTATATATATTTTTATAAGTACTGTCCGAATCATAGCTTAGTTTCAGTAGGTTTAATCAATATTAAAATACCATCAACTATATAAAATGCTTATAAACAATGATTTATATGTTTAGCTGTGTAAATACATTTACTTAATTAATATGAAATTAATTTGATAAAAAAAAATAATGACAGCAAGCAGCATGTTTAGCAAAAAAACATGCTGTTTGCTCTTTACCCAAAAGCATTTTTTTCTCTTCCTCCATAAGTAAATTTTTTTCCGTGAAAAGCAAGATTTTTGATTTACAATTTTATTAAAAAAAAAATAATTATAAAATAAAAGTTTTTTAAAAAAGATACAATTTTTGAACAAAGTTTAAAGATATTTTAGCTAAGATATTGTTTGCAAATAAAAAAAAATCAACATAAACAAATAAAATAAATGTAAAAAACCCCGTTGCTTATGTATATTTGTAAATGGCACTTTAAAAGACATATCAAATTGAATAAACACCAACGACAATATAATAATGATAATAATAATAGTAATAATAATAAATATCAAAATAAAAAAAAATGCAATAGGAAAAGGAAAAAAAAATAGCTATGGGTAAGCAGTAAGTCCCTACTTTGCTTGCATTTGATAGTAAAAGCAAAAATTTCCGATAACTTTTCGATTACTTTCGATAAGTTTCTGTTTGTTAAAAATTTATTTTAAACTTTTAATTTCCAGTTAATATCGAAATTTATTGAGGAGTTACAAACTTTATGCTTTTACTAGCAATTGCAAAACTTTTACTTTGTTTTTGCTAAACGTTGAATATAGAAATCATAAATTTTTATATCAAAAATTTGGTTTATCACAAATAGGAAATTTCTTGAAAAACGCGTTAAGTTTCAAGGAATGGTTCAGTTTTGATCAAGAGGTTTTCATTCGGATGAATAGGATTTAAAAATTGCATAAAATCAAATTAATAAACTATGTACCTAATGTATAATTTATTATAATATAATTCAAAATAAGCTGTACAAACTTTTTTAATTTCAAAATAAGTACTGTTTTAACATATCAGGGCCGACGACACGGGTTTCAAAGTGGAGGGAGGGCGGGCGGGTACACTCGTCTATTTCTAAAAAAAGTTCACTATAATTTGAAATTTTTTTTTATTTAAATGGTCCTTTATAAAAAAAAGTTGTCTATGCCCTCCATAGCCCCTGCTTTCACAGCCTTGCCCTCGTCGGCCCTAAATGTAAGACTTTGTAAAATAAAGCTAATGTTAATATTGTAAGTTGTTAAAAATTTTATTTAAAATTTTATTCATTTTATTTTCAAACATTTTTTTGTTTACAGAATCGATTGCATCTTGCGACAATAAATTCCAATCGCCTATTACTCTATAGCTTAGTTTCTAATAATTGTAGGAATGTCCTACCACAGTTGCGCAATAGTTTCCTACCACAGTTGCACAAGAACTTTATTTTATAATAGAAACGTTTTCTAGCGTACGTGCACAACTTAACGTCAGTTAAACAACAATGTTTAAAATAGAAACAAATCGATTTCTGAATCAATTGTTTTACAACAAAGCCGCGCAAATGTTGGACAATATTTGGAAACAAATGTTGTTCAACATTTAAAACTATTAAAATGCAACTGTTGAAAACCTAACATATTTGTCAAATGTTTAGGGTAGAAGGGGGCACCTTTGAACACTTTTTACACTTTTTATTATAAATCAAAGAAAAATATATTTTAACAACTTTTTTTGTTTTGAACAGTTAAAATAATCATTAAGGAAAGAATTTACTTTATTTGTAAAAATTGTAAGCCAAAAATTAAGCCTGTATTCTCGTTCTAGCAAGGCAGCTTTGAATTTGCATGGGGCAGCTTTGAATTGTCATTGTTAAACCAAAATAACTTTGATTAAACAATTTTTTTTAATTACTTGGTGTATTTTTGGACTATATTTGTTCCGTTATGATTCATCTACATACATATTAAATTTTAAATATATGCTTTTTAGCTTATTAGAAAAGAGACTAGATATTTCTCATTTGTTTGTTTCGTATTTCCGTGTTAAAGCGCTAATATAATAGCGCTTAAAAATTGATTATAACGCTATGTCAAGTTAGCGATCCGTCTTTTGTTATAGATGTTCGGGGTTCAAATCGGGTTCTTGGACTTTTGTTTTTTTTTTTACTTTTTTCTAATTTTTTATTAAGTTAGCTTCATAATATTTCAAATCTCAGAAATATTTTTTGTCACGCAAACGCCCATTAAGTGCACCACCGCATCAGTCATTCTCTTTTGTCATATCGGTAGTTCAAAACGAAGATATTACCAAGAGGTTTAACAAGGGTTTTGAAATGTTCTTAAACTATTAGTTAAAGACATTATATTTGGTTACCTCAGCAACGAGCAAAATTAGTTTCAAATAAATTATTTTTCTTATCAGTTTTATTTTTGTTTTAAGAGTTTTGCTTAAGTTTTCGAAATATCTTGTTTTGAAATAATAAACTTCTTAACTTAAGCGCTCGTACGCTCTTTAAACAAAAATTCAAAGTAAATTAAGTAGAAAAAGTAAAAAAGTAAAAGTAAATTTGTTTCAAAACTGTTTCAACGGCGTTTTAGAAATTAAATAGCTGTTTACGGAGACAAAATAATATTTTTTAATAAAGTTTTTTGCTTCAGTGTAAATACAATAAAATATTTTACATTTTTAATTTTTAATTTTATTATAATTCACCTCCTCAAGGCCGAGAAGGCCACTACAGACGAGGAGGCTACTTATTTGTGGCTATAACCCTCTCTCAACTCTATAACTCCGAAACACGAACCTTGATGAACAAGGCCGCTGCGCGGTGAAACGAGTTGAGCGCGGTACTACCAGGGACGTGGTGAGGATCGAACTCCGAACCACTCGTTTATGAAGCGAGCGCCCTACCACTATTTTATAAAGTTTACCACTTGTTAAAGATGTGATCAAAAAAGTCTTACAACTTTTTATCAAAATGTTTCAAATTTGTATTCAAAAACAAAAAAATTGTCTAGTTTTTCCATTTTATATCAAATGGCAACATATTCACGTGACAGATGTTAGGATTATTATTGTCTTATTAGAATAATTAACTATACTTAATTTAAATACAAGCGCTCTTCACAAATGCATTTTTTCAACGCTGCCCCCGTTCAGAACTGTCCCCTTCTTCCCTAATACTAAGAATAATTTTTAGCTCAGTGTTAATAAGGTCTTTTTAATCAATTTTCTTTTAAAAGTACAAAGTAAGGAAAAAGTTTTTTTTTGCGATACAAGCTTTTTTGAAGAAATAAGAACTTTAGAGTACTTGACATGTGTTGGGTCACAAAACGTAAAAATTTGAATAAAACTATTTTCAAAAAAGATACTGAACTTTTGATTCTTGTTTTTGATTATCTCTTAACTTTGATCATCGTTTAACTTTGATCATCTGTTACCTTTAGTTATCTCTTATCTTTGATTATCTCTTAACTTTAATTATTTGTTAACATTAATTATCTCTTAACTTAAATTATCACTTAAATTTGCTTTTGTCTAGGATTTTATATGTCCTAATGTTCTTTATCCCTAAACGCTCAGTTTCATTAAAAGTGAAATTTTAATTGATTATCATTTTTTCTCAAACATTTACACAATTATTTACAACCATTCAATATTAATACATTAAAATTTAATTTAAAATACACTTTAGGCTACTCTCTGCATATCTAAAAGACAAAAAAAAAAATATCAGGAAAATAAAAAAATTGTTTTTATAAATAAAAAAAGTTTAATTGGCTCAAATAAAAATAAAATAAAATATTTGGCAAACGACAAGCAAAAAATAAACATTTCTAATGTGAACGTTAGCTAAGCAATAAAAAGGACTTTTTATAATGTAAAAAATTCACAATGAAAAAAAAACAACAACTTTAAATATGAAAAAATAATAATTTAACATAAGAATCAAGAAAAAAGCCCAACTTTTCAATAGCAGTAGAGAGCACAATTTAGAGATATTTTTCCATCTAAACAACAATCACATGCGTGCAAACCAGAGAGAATTTTAAATTTGTTATTAGGACATGGAGTAGAATACCTACAACCACAATAATCCGAACTATTTGGATCATATCTAGCTGGATATTTTTTGCAAAAATAACAACTGAATCGTGGTATAGATCCTTCAGGACAAGCTTGGCAAGGACTTAAGAGCGAAAATTAATTCATCGTTTGGTCGGTCAACACTTTTACCAAGACTAAACTTTTGATTTGCTCTGCAATTTTGTTTGAAAACAAAACTCTGCTGTTGCTTGAAGAAACAAATTAGTTTCAGAATAAATTTTAGTAAAAATTTGATTTGAGTGAAGTTCAACGCGCAATTATGATCTTATTCCTTGTTTCGCCGTAATATCAGCTGCAAATCATATCACTTGCTGAAAATATAATACCAGCTGTAATACCAGCTGAAATCATATCACTTGCTGAAAAACCTAATGTAGTGCCATTATAGAACTAAATTGATCTCAAAATTTTAAGTACACATATTCGCATCGAGATATTAGTTCAGACCAAATTTTTAGTGCGCTTTCTTTATTTGTATTTGCAATCTGGATCAACTGGATTTGAAGTACTGCAATTACTGAAGGGACAGGAATTTTAAATTCTCCCCCGTATAGAAGGTTGCAAACTACTTGAGCTGCTTGAAAGTTCTATCCATCGGCGCATATTGGAATGTGATCAAAAAATACAATCCCCTCATTTTTACTATTTTCTAAGTCAAACGGTGTTAACTTTAGTAACTTTGGTGCTAAGCAAATTACGGTTGCCCCATTTGTTGGGCCACAATTGTGGTATGTTTTATGGTTGCAATTTTTAAGACTAGATTCTCCGCCTGTACAATTAACGTTATCCATAAAAAAATCGTTTGAAAATAGTTCATTTTTCCATCCTATTGCAAGTGTTCCTGAAGAAAAGTTTAGCGCTCTGCAGACAATTTGAGCGTTTTGGTTTGTCCAGAAATCATCACATATTGGCCTACCAAAAATTTCCACAGTTCCGTAGTATTTGTGTTCTAAAAACATCATAAACTCATAGGTTATAAAAACTAAAAAAATAAATTATAAGCGTAGTATAAAAATTTTGGTTGTAAAGATACAGTATAAACATGATTATAATGTTTCTCGAACAAGTTCATTTTGTTTATTTGTTGAATTACTTAACATTAGTATTATTTAATTTATTTAAGAGTTTAAGAGAGAAATTTACCCAATAATTTAAATGAATGAAAGTATATCCATATTTAATGGCAAAATTGTTTTTCGCAAATAAAGTTTCTCAAATAACAAACACACACACACTTACTCATTTTTATACAGTGCTTATAATTAGGCAGGATTCCATTCCATTAATTTTTTATAAAGTTTAAACCAATCTGCCACTTTTCTAATTATTAGTGCAAATAATTTAAAATATGAAAGTTTGGCAATTTTATCAATCAAGTTTTGCTGTTATTTGTCTAGGAGACCGCAACAATAATTTTAAATTACGATAAGTCTTTAACTGGTTGCAATTGGTAACAAAATTACATTCATTTATTTTTTATTACATAAATTTGTTAACGCATAATATAATACATTTTTATTGAATATTTTATAAAACGTTTTTATAATGTATTATGCGTTATCAAGCCCCTAATTTTGCGGTGCCACCTATCGCCCCCCCCTACTTAATCCAGCACTGCATTGCTTTACTGCTATTTATCATGTTTAATTGTTTTTAATGAACAAAAGATTTTTCTTAACTGGTTTAGAATCGCCATAAAGTGACATATAACATTACTATTTAATCCTATAATATTTTTTACGCTCACCTACGTCTTTATTGGTTTCACCTATAAAAGCATCATTCTCCTACATTTATTTTTACGTTACGTTTAGGAAGTACAATTACGTTGGTCTTTTCCAATCCCGGTATTTGGGATTGAAAATTTTCAAACCCGACATTTTGGGAAATACCAGGGTTGATTATTTTCATTACTTGATTTTTAACCAACCGAAATTATTTGAATGGCGTATAACAGCAATGTTTTTGTTTTTTTAATGTTAAAAGTTATGTTATTTTTTACTTCATTAAAAATTACATTAACATAAAATGTATTAATTCTATACGTCGAGTACAAATACAGTAGTTTTTATTAATAACAAACCTGTATAAATATTAATAATATCTTCGCATACCCCCGTTTTTACGGAAATCTTAAAAAAAAAACAATTAACTCTAAAAGCATTATTGGTTTTCGAAGTTTTCACAAAAGTTTGTAAAAGTATATTGTGGATTTTTAAAGGTAAACTAATTTTCAATATAACAATACAGCATTAACAAAAACGTAAAAAATCTGATGCAAATAGTCTAACGAATTCTTTAGACTGTTTCTCCAGATTTTCTTGTTATTTTAGAAGAAGGTGAGGTAAAAACTGGGCGAAGGTGTCCATGATTCAAGGGGCCTGGGAATATTTTTTCAAATTTCAAATAAACGACTGAAATAAATCATTGTTTTAATCACTCGTAAATCAAGTACAGCTCCACCAATATATATATATATATATATATATATATATATATATATATATATATATATATATATATATATATATATATATATATATATATATATATATATATACTGTTAAAAATATAGCGCCTTTATTACGGAAAAGTTCCGGCAACTACCGATGACCAAACTACCCGTTATTTTACGGAAAAACCCATCGCATATAAACGGAGGTTTCCGTTAACAAACGTTAAAATACAATGAGTTTTTTCCGTTAAACATCGAGTAGTTTGGTCATCGGCAGCTGCCGGAACTTTTCTGTAAAAAAACGGATACTTCTGTTTAAATTAAACAAGATTTTCCCGTTAAACAACGGAAAGGTTGCAGCAACTCAGCTCAAGGTCTCATATATACCTGGTCTGCGCACTCGCAAACTTTTTTTAAAAAATTATATGCTAAGGGGCCTATTTAAAACCAGTTCTTAAAACGAAGTTTTTAGAGAAGGTAAAAACGTAAATCTTAAAGCTTTATGACATATTACATTAAATAACTATATAACCATGGTACGAAGTTGCTGTGCTTATGAATATAAATCTTGGTATGATCGTGATCTGAAATCTAAAAGTTACCATTCTTTTCCTGCTGATAGCAATGTTTGTGAGCAATGGTTGAAGCAAATTGAGAGAGCATTTTGTTCCTACAAAAAACAGCTACGTTTTCTCCTTACACTTTGTACAAACAGACTTCAAAAATGCAAGCTCTAATTCTAACAGAAGTCGCTAGCGAATTTGTTCGGAACAAAATTTAGAAAAGAAAGGTATGAAGACCTAAAGCTGTACCTATTATTCCCATCTTTGCCAAGTTTAGGTATAGTAACACCAGTGCAATGTTCAACTATTGTTTCTTTTTCCACATCTTGTCTAAACAGGGAAATTTTTTAATCTAAAGATACTGTTAAATCATTTGAAGAGCTTACTAAAAAGGTTGCAAGCGAAATCAGAAATTTCTATCTTAATATTTTTGCTAGTGAGCTATTCACTTTGAGCTATTCACTTGTTCAATTAAATGATTTGACAGGAGTAACTCTCAAATCATCTGTTGTCATATATAAAAATTTGAACTTCGATGTTTACATAAATAACATAGTTGTTCCAAAAGAATCTTTCTAATCAGTAATGGAAAACATAGCAAAAATCTCCAGTTTATCAGATTTAGAGAATATGCTAAGTTACTTACGTTATTTAATTGAAAAAGATAGTAAAATTTTACCTATATCTACATGTTTTGAACTTTTGGAAGGATATGGTTGCACAGAGGAAACTCAACTTTATATGTGAACAGTTTCTTTTATTGGAAAAACCATGCCAAAGTAGAAGATACAACAATAATCTTCTTGTTACTTGTTTGTTGTGGTATACCGTTTTAGTATTTTTTTATCACTTCAGTTGCTGGAAATTAAATGGATATTGTTTGCCTTTTTCTTTTTTCTACAATAAATATTTTCACTTTAAAGTAATGTTGGTTTCAAGTCCTGGAAATGCTTAGTATGATTGGATTTCATGCAATAATTACAACAAGTGACAGTCATGTTGTCAATCAAAATTTTTTTATGAATGAGTTGTGTTCAGGAAAATTTGATTACTTTTATGAATCATTCAATATTAAACAACAAGAAACTCTTTATTTTAATTGATCCTACTCACAACTTTAAAAATGCTTACAATAATTTTGAAAGTCGTAAAATGTCGTTGACACAAATAGGTACGTTTATAATAATTTAAAATTTCCTATTCCAATATCATGTATACCAAGAGATCCAACATTTGGATAATCAATTACAAGTTTTAATATCACCTTCTGGTTTAAAATATATCAATGCAGATTTTAATAACACTTTACAGATTTTTCAGTATGAGAGTAAAAACCCTTTAAAAGTTGCCTATCACTTATCTAAACAATGCTTTCAGCCTACAAATCTCCAAAGAACATCAGCTAAGCTATGTTTTAAATTTTCCATGAAAAAACTGCATGTGCCTTAAAATTTTATTACAAGAATGGAAAACTACAAAGTCCTACTTGGAATGCTAATCATTATTTAATAGAAAGAAATCTTCAGTTTTACCGAAAGTTCTGAAAGTTTTACTGAAAGTTCTGCTGTTTTACTGAAAGTTCTGAAAGTTTTACTAAAAGTTCTGCCAATTTACTAAAAGCTCTGAGAGTTTTACTGAAAGTTCTGAAAGTTTTACTAAAAGTTTTGCAATTTTACTGAAAGTTCTGTAAGTTTTACATAATGTTTTGAAGGTTTTACTCTATGTTCTGAAAGTTTTACTGAAAGTTCTGAAATTTTTACTAAAAGTTTTGCTGTTTTACTGAAAGTTCTAAAAGATTTTAAAAAAATTATGCAATTTTACTTAACGTTCTGAAAATTTTATTAAAAGTTCTCAAAGTTTTACATAATGTTATGAAAGTTTTACTGAAAGTTCTGCAGTTTTAATGAAAGTTCTGCAGTTTTTTTAAAAGTTCTGCAGTTTTACTGAAAGTTCTGCAGTTGTACTGAAAGTTCAGAAAGTTTTGAAAGTTTTATTTAAAGTTTACTAAATGTTTTGAAGGTTTTACTGAAAGTTCTGTAAGTTTTAATGAAAGTTTTTATAGTTTTACTAAGAGTGTTGAAAACTTTACTGAAAGTTCTGCAGTTTATAAAAGTTCTGTAGTTTTACAGAAAGTTCTGCAGTTTTACTAAAAGTTCTGCATTTTTACTGAAAGTTCTGAGAGTTTTGAAAGTTTTACTTAAAGTGTAATGAATGTTCTAAAAGTTTTACTAAAAGTTCCGAAAGTTATAATAAAAGTTCTTAAGTTTTACCTAAAGTTCTGAAAATTTTACTAGAAGTTTTGCAGTTTTCCTGAAAGTTTTGCAGTTTTACTGAAAGTTTAGCAGTTTTACTAATAGTTCTGAAGGTTTTATTGAACATTCTGCAGTTTTACTGAAAGTTCTGAAAGTTTTATTGAAAGTTCTGCCGTTTTACTTAAAGTTCTGAAAGGTTTACTGATTGTTCTGAAGGTTTTACTGAAAGTTCTGAAAGTTTTACTAAAAGTTCTGAAAATTTTACTGAAAGTTTAAAAAGTTTTAAAAGTTTTAATTAAAGATACTGAATGTTTTGAAGGTTTTACTGATAGTTCTGAAAGTTTTATTGAAAGTTTTTTAGTTTAACTGAAAGTTCTGAAAATTTTACTGAAAGTTCTGCAGTTTCACTAAAAGTTCTGCAGTTTTACTAAAAGTTCTGCAGTTTTACTAAAAGATTTGCAGTTTTACTGAAAGTTTTGCAGTTTACTGAAAGTTCTGAAAGTTTTAAAAATTTTTCATAAAGTGTACTGAATGTTCTGAAAGTTTTACTGAAAGTTCTAAAAGATTTAATAAAAGTTCTTAAGATTTATTGGAAGTTCTAAAATTTTTACTGGAGGTTCTGCAGTTTTATTGAAAGGTTTTCAGTTTTAAAAAAAGTTCTGCAGTTTTACTAAAAGTTCTGAAAGTTTTTTTGAAAAATCTGCAGTTTTACTGAAAGTTCTAACAAATTTACTAAAAGTTCTGCCGTTTTACTTAAAGTTCTGAATACTTTAATGAAAGTTCTAAAAGTTTTACTAAAAGTTCTGCAGTTTAACTTAAGGTTCTGCAGTTTTACTGAAAGTTTTGCAGTTTTACTGAAAGTTCAGCAGTTTTACAGAAAGTTCTGCAGTTTTACTGAAAGTTCTGAAAATTATATTCAAAGTCCTGCAGTTTAACTGAAGGTCTGAAAGTTTTACTGTAAACTCTGCAGTTT